AACTGATAGATCGAGCTATTCAGCATAAATAAAGTTACTAGTTAGTTTAGGTTTCTTCCTGTAGTAATACTGGATCAAAATAAGATGATTCTTGCTGTACCTCTAGGAAGAACAGTTTAGAACTGATAGAGCTATCCAGTATAAATAAAGTGAGTTTAGTTTAGGATTCCTCCTGTAGTAACACTGAATCAATACGAGATGACCCTTATTGGACCTCTATAGGAAGAAGTTTATACAAAAAGTTGGCTTATTCTAGTTTACTGGTAACACGAGACAGTTTTACCTATCAGTGTGAAATCCTCGGGCAGAAAAAGGAGAGTCCATTAATAACCTAACAATTACCTTGTGTGCTCCGATGTGTGTTTCACCGACAACCATAGTAATATCACATAAATTCCCATCACATGAATGATTCCAAAATGTCTTTAAGTCATCTTTCATAGAAGACACTGGAAAATTGATACAGAGAAGTTTGTTACTGCGTGTTGCTTAAGGTAAATTTTGTCTTTTCCATTTCAACAAAACCACAGACACCGTATTTTCGCAGTCAGTATAACCGTCTTTTGCATTGCTTTAAGCTTATTTTTTGCACTGTTGTAAACATAACTTTGCACTGTTGTTACAGAATTTTGCACTGATGTTTGGGCTTGTAAATAATCATAGTCGAGTAACATTAGTATGTATATTATTATTTTTACAAAAAGACTCCTTTCCTGTAAACTTATAAATATTTGAATTACTGCTTACACCTGAATGAGGACCATTTCTTCATGATAAGCTGAATATTTTCGCCGCTTACCAGAATAAACAGTTAAATGTTGCGGTTCAGGAACAGATATCTAGAAAAAGATCGAATTGAAAAAATGAAATTGGAATATATAGGTCCCAAAAAATGCAGTTGCTATGTTCCTGATTTTTACACAGCTAATTATCAGTGAGCATCGAAAATTATTTTGACTATGTTTTTGAACACATTGCAGTAAGTAGGAAAAGCTAATATATTTGTCAAAACTTTGCTATTATAAATAAAGTAAGCTTAGTTTATTTAACAACTTTAATTTGGCACAGAAAAAACTGAATATTTACATAACTTAAACGAACAATTACATTGTACAAGAAGACGAGGAAAGTACCAAAAGTGGCGAAACACAAACGAGACTATGTCCCATGCAGGGTGCTCACCACTAGACAACAAACAAAGACAACAAACAAAGAGAGGAAACAAAGACAAGGAAGATTAAATGAAAAGACTAAGAGAATGAAAAGGCAGAAAGAATGAAAAGACAAAGAGAGAAACGTTAGATATTTTTATTGAGTCGTGATAAGTGAGTGTGAACTAGGTAAGTCAGGAGTGTGGGAAGTACTAGTGAGGTGGATGTAAGTCTTGCGCAAGACAGTGACATAACAATACGTAGGAGCAGACATACAAACATAGTTCCACAGTTTAACAATTCTAACACAATAGGAACTTTGAAATGTACTTGTTTTGCATGCTTGAGTTCTCAGAAGACCAGAAGTGGCCGCGCGTGTCCTTCCCGTTGTAACTTCAACATACTGCGATATGTCAAAATCTGTGAGACCGTACATGCATTTATAGAAAAATATCAAGTCCTTCTGTTCTCTGTCGTATACAAGCGGGATTAAATTAAGTTACATTAAGCGCTGTTTGTAACTTAGTTCTCCGCGTTTCTTCTTTAGTATCCACAGTGTTGCTCTTCTTTGAACTCCTTCGATTTTCTTTGATAAGTTGCTGTTGTTAGGAGGGCACCATACCTCGCTTCCATAAACAAGTTGAGATTTAACTAGCGTTAGATAGAAGGTCCGTCTGACCTGGGTGTGGTTAATGTCAAAGCATGAGCGTTTGAGGATACCAAGCATTTTATTTGCCTTCGCCACCATCTTGAGTATGTGTGGCCCCCATTTCAAATTGCTGGTCACGAGCATACCAAGATCTTTCTCGACTTGACAAGGAAATAATTCATTACCATATATGCGATATGGAAATCGCGTTGGGTGTTGCTTTCTTGATATTGTCAGCACTTTGCACTTTTCAGTGTTAAATCGCATTTTTGAATCAGTGCTCCACTTTTTCAGTTTGGCAAGGTTGTCTTGCAGGAACTGGCAATCTTCTACCGATTTGATTTCTCTGTATAACTTGTTTAGGTTTCCTCCTGCAGTAACACTGGATCAATAAGAGATGATCCTTACTGGACCTCCGGGAAGAACAGAGCTATCCAGTAAATAAAGTTAGTTTAGTTTAGGTCTCTTTCTGTAGTAACAGTGGATCAATAAGAAATGATAAAATAAAGTTAACTTAGTTTAGTTTAGGTTTCCTCCTGTAGTAACACTGAATCAAGAAGAGATGATCCTTACTGGACCTCTAGGAAGAACAGTTTAGAACTGATAGAGCTATCCAGTATAAATAAGTGAGTTTCGGGACCGCTCATTATTTATTATACAGGGGGGAGATTGAGGAGAAACTGGGGGAGCCTCTAAATTTTTTAAAACCTGAAAGGGAGGACTTCGAAAATATTTACCAGTTTGAAAAAACATTAGTGGTTTTAAAAATGTATCACAAAACAACTTAACAAATAACAAGGTTGATAGACTTTCAATATTCATAAATGGAAGCCAAATAAAAAGTTTCTTATGTTCATGCAAATAGACAATCCCCATTATAGACTAATTTTAGAACTAGGCAAAGAGATGCAAATCAAGGCCGGATTTTGGTGAAAATAGTGGGGAGGCGGAAAAAAATTTTGGGCGAGGTGCAGCGGTCTAGCTCACAACTCCCATGGAAAGTTAGGGCTTATTGTAGAACAGGCCAATATCAACCAGGTTAGGTGTGCATGTACTGTAGTGTACAAATGTACCAGTGTATTAATGAATTATGAATGTTATGACTCCAATCTTGCCCTTCGCTACAAAGTTTCTTTCAAAACATTGCATTAAAAGGGTACTTGACACAGAGATGAATGGCTATCACTGTTTCAATTTTACAGAGAAAACTTTCTTTCCTCACGAAGTGTAGATCCTAAGCAACTATCACATTTTCACTTTGTTCCATCACAGAAACTTTCCCAAGGGGAGGTGCATGACCTTTCAGAATAGGTGGAAAAATTCTCAGGGGAGGTGCAAAACGATCTCAGGGGAGGTGCGCACCTCTCCACACCTCCCCTCAAAATCCGGCCTTGATACAAATAAATCACCACAGCTAGAAAGAGCATACTAAAATAAGTAAATTATTGCAAAGTTTGGTTGCGAAATGTTGTAAAATACGGAAAATATAGCCTTCCAAAGTTTGCAAATTCTGTATACTTTTGTATTGCCTGTGAAAATTGCAATACAAAAGTATACAAAATTTGCAAACTTTGGAAGGCTATGTTTTATACATATTTTACAACATTTCGCAACCAAACTTTGCAATTTTACTAATTTTAGTATGCCCTTCCCGGAAATATACTTTTTTTGCTAAGATAAAACATTGGTCTATAATGGGAATTGTCTATTGGTCCCCATTATCTATTTTTTTATCTCTAAATAAAGAGTTAGAGTTTTTGTTTCTCTAAATAAAGATAAAGAGCTAGAGGGGGACCAAAATTTATGTTCCTGTTTGGCCTGTTGGGGAGGGGGAGAGGTGCTTTGACAATTTTACTTGTCTTAAGAGGGGGGCAACCAAAAAATATTATAACTGTAGAGTTTCTCTTCAGTCTCCGCTGTACAATAAATAATGAGCAGTCCCTTAGTTTAGGTTTCCTCCTGTACTAACACTGAATCAATAAGAGATATGATCCTTAATAGACCTCTACAGGGAGAACAGTTTAGAACTGATAGAGCTATCCAGTATAAATAAAGTAAGTTTAGTTTAAGTTTCCTCCTGTAGAAACACTGCATCAACAAGAGATGGCTCATACGGGAAATCCAATAAAAAGTTAGTTAATTTTCTTCTTGTAACTGGATCTCCAGGGAGAACAGTTCAGAATTGATAGAGCTGTGCAGTTTATAAACTCTAGATTTAGTTTACAAAGTCTAGTTTACGCTGACCATGGTTCAAATGATGAACACTCAACTCAGCATGACGACGTCGTACAATTTCAACCATCAAAGGGTTTGGTACAGTTTCAAATTGTTGGGTCATAATGATTGTCTTGACGTTTGAACCACGCACAATGTAACGCAGACAGTAATCCTGAAACAAAACAGTAATCCAATAATCGTTTGCTTTGTCATTTACTTTGCTTTGGCATTTGCGCCACGATGCAATTACCAACGATGCTTTAAAAGTGACGCCGTAATTGTACTATGTACAGCAATATAAGCAAAACTTACTGAATTTCAGAAATATACCAAAAATCAGCCAGATACCGATGCTGATTATCAGTCAATCACTATAACTACTTTCCTCTGTCTAAGGCCAGATGATTTAGTAACATACCCATCATTGCCATCATGCAAAGACATACAAAGCATTGTTGTATTAAAGCAACCATTGTATGTTTGCTGCGTCTGTACAGAAGATAATAAATTAGAAAATATTACTGGACATTGCTTTCACGCTATTTTCAAGTTCATCATGGTGCATTTAAAATAGGATGATAGGCACAATGACTTGGAGTAAGATTAACTGATAACAAGTTAATAACCCTTTAAGTGGCAATGCATCCAGATGCGCCCTACTTTATTATTTTACTCTGTCTAAGGGATGAACCATTAGATATTTGAGGGGGTGGTTGCAGCTTTTTTCCTTGCAGGATTTTTTTGGACGCACATGTTGTGCACGCCTTTTTTTCGTTTAATAATCAAATGCTTGCAAGAATTTTTTTATTTCTAGTTTTTAATAAGGGCGGGTTACAATATCTTTGAAAGAAAATTTGATAGTGTAACCAAGCCCTTTCGACAGTGACTGATCCGTTTCCTGCCAGTGGTGTAGTCAGACCTTCATTTTTGGGTCTGCGAATTAAGCTCACGCCGAAGGCGTGAGAAATCTAGAAATCTAATGCGATTTCAAGAAATGCGATTTCAAGCATTTTGGGGGTGAAATCTAGCAGAATTTCGAAGATTATAAAGTACATCGAAGACATGAATTTTTCCAGACATTTCTACTCGGAATGAAATAAATTGGAAAAGTCACCTTGAAAACAGGAGGAGGGGTCAGTGTCACCTTATTTCCCCTCTGTGATGCTGGGGGGAGCATGAGATTTTGATCAGAAATGTTGCATTTAAATCATTCTAGCTTCTATGAGACACCATTTCCGCATTCACAAAATTGCGTTGCTTTTCATTAATAACCAACGAAATTTTGAGAAGTTTTCAGATGATACAGAATAAGTCGATGTTTAAAATAAGAGATGAAATATTCATGCTATGATAATGCATACATGTATTTAATTAACAGTTTAAAATCTAAAACGTTACTCATAAATATTTTTTACATACCAAATGTTCTTTGAATATGCCTCTATTACGAGTTACTTGTTGGGCAATAATACTTTTAACTAGAATTCGACTTACGCCTGGTGTTTCTATTGCAAATCTATTCTTCTTGGAACCATATCTACAAGTTACACTACAAATACTTTAACGAGATTTTCCAAATCAAGTTCCTCCAGTATTAATTAGTTTCAGTTTAGAGCATGTAACATGTACCCCTTCCCCCCTCCCCCAATTTCTCTACGGACTTAGCCTTTTTGAGAGAATGGTTCCCCCCCCCCCTTGGCTACGCCATTGTTTCCGGCATAGTTTCAAATATTAATCAGTTACATAGACTGAGATACAAATGGTAGACGATTGAACAAAAATACAGGTCCTGATTTAATAATTAAGAACAGGTCATAATTTTAAGCGTGTAATTATACACATTCATCTACAACATCTTTGACATGAGGTACAGGCAGCTGGAGAGATGGTAGCCCGAAGTGACAGCAAGCTGGTCGGCAATCTGAAGGCCTGTTCCAGGGTTCTGTATCAACACAGAATAAACAAATCTGTGTACTCTGTACTGGTATTAATATGCGATAAATCAAAGCAGATTATCCATGCTCTCAGTGGTTGTTGTACAACCTCTGGTATGTACTTCATGTCTTGCAGCTATAATGAATCTATATGTGGGGTTGGGCATAGCCCTAGGACCCCTAGGACATGAAGTATATACCCTACAGTACCTCCTCTGCAGGCCATATACAGCCCGAAACACAAATTTGGAAGCTTCGCATGAAATAATGAGTGATCATCAGGATTGTCACGGCATTCTATGTATTCTTCATATTTTATATCCAGAAGTTCCAAATAGGGGTCAAGGAATTGGAGTTTTAACTCTCATAGGATGGATGCTTGCACAATTTTTTTCTTTGGATTTCTGCAACCGCCCGCTCAAATATCTAATTAATCTTTCTCACGCCGCCATTTTAGGGTGGCATTTCAGTCGAAGTCTGCGAGATAAGTGCACATAACAGCAACTTTTTATAATGTTTTGGACAAATGATGGTAAATTTGCTTTGTAAATGGTTAGTTTATTTTGAAAAATTGCTTTTCACATTGTTTTAATTGTCTGCGTTGGTTAACGAGAATTGGATGCCACCAAAAATGGCGGATATTAGTCATCGTGAGAAAGGCTAACTGGTCCGTCCCTAAGTCTTAAGGCTCATTTCCACTCAAGAAAAATTTCCACGGACAGAAACTTTTCCAAAAATATCATTGTTAAAAGTTGAAATTTGTGTTGGCCAATCACATTTTAGAAAATTTTAAAATGCCTAATGAGCCTTAATGTACTATAATGCTAGACGATTTTACATGTCAGGGAGAGAGTCCTAAAGTAACCCTAACCCACAACAAACAGTGAATCGGTCAACAGATTTTATGCAAAATGACGTCGCAAAGCTTGATGACCGCTAGAAACGCTGGTCCAATAGTACTAATTGCCCGGGAATTAAATTAAACAATTCAAAATGCCTATTATCAAAATTTTAACTACTATTAAGACAGGCATTCCCTGCGGGCATCAAGCCTTGTGACGTGATTATGCATAAGGTAGGGATGGGCCGATATCGATACCAAATACTCGATACTATCGATACCAGGGTTTTGAAGGTAAGTATCGATACTGGCAAGAAATATCGATGTTTCGATATTTCTGCGCCTGCGATATTTTTTTCAATTTGGTCAGCGGCATCTTCATGAAAATTATACCAAAAAGCTTAAATAGGTGTAAATACTAGAAAAGTAGTTCATTTTCTATTGTGCTATAATATTCCATGGGCAGGATGGGAGTTTCTGGTTATGCTGGTTGCAATCTCTGACATATATTATTCAATGTTTATATTGTTAGCATTGTTGCCGTTGTTAAAGGTGATCATTTATTATACTCTAGAAGCTTGAAAATATAAATAGTTGTCGAATAAAGCTCAATATTTTGAAAACAAAAATGTAAACAAAGGCTTTGTTTACATACGGACTGTAGATCACCTTTAATGATTAAAAATAGTCTTTTTGTTGTTATGGTTGTTTGAGTTGAGAAAATATCGATATCGGTATCGATATCGAAAAAAAATGGCAAATATCGAGGAAATATCGTATCGAATGAAAAAGCTGGTATCGCCCATCCTTAGCATAAGGTCTATTCCCCAGAGTGTTGTCCACCATGAACTATGACGTCACTTAAATGACGTCATTTTCAGCTAGACACATTGTCAAAATATAAATATAATTTTACAGCTCTGGTTTGCAAAAGAATTTAAAAAATACACCACATACCTCGCCCCAACAAATTCATAACAAGCTGGCATACGTTCCCACCTATGTACTGTTTCATAAGGCCCAAAATCTAGCGTCGGACACTCGAAAATATCCGATGCATCGTGACTTGTACTCGACTCATTTTGGTCAGTACCTCCCAAATTTCTAGCCCAACTAGCCGTATTCCTATCGCTTGACGGCGACAAACTCATTTTTACGTGTCTCGTACTCGGCTTTATTAAAGTTCCTCCCTCAGCAAAACCATTTCTAAAATTTTCTGGTATTTGACGCACATTTCAAAGCCCGGACAGAATTCTAGTTCACTTTTGCTCTGTCATTAAATTTTCGAAAAATCAAGTACGGCCAGCGGTTGTATAGTAAACACAAATCTCGAGCTCTGATTGGTTGGAGAAATTGGGATAACCAATCAAATATCGGTATTTATTCAAAACGAGCCCGCGCTTTGTCTTGATTTTGTATTTTTGTTGCAAATTTTCAATTTTATAAAAACCTTACAGAATATTCAAGTTGAAAAATAATGTGTTTGCGAAAGGTTATTTTGGTTAAAAATTAATAAAATAACTAAGGCTGTGGCAAACATTCGTTGGAAAAAACGCGAAATGCAAGCAGAATACCTATCGTTTAAACTGTAATAAAATTTAGCTTTTGCTTGATGGCTGATGCCGTCTTCTCCATGGGGTCATTATTGGAGTGGTGGTGCATGAGGTAGCCTTCCTGGGGCAAATGGGACAGGTCATTAAGTAATAATGGAGGGGGGCGGTGGGTGATATTCAAATACCAAATATTGAAATTTTTAGATCCACCCCAATCGCAAGATCTTATGTATCGATCAATTCGAAACTTCACCATCCCCCCCCCCCCGGGCCGACCCCGGGAATTTGAACTTCTTGAAATTTGACTAATCAAATTCTCCACCCCCTGTGCAAAAAATGTCTTCAAATGCCCCACTGTAACAAGAAATTAGGCGTTCAAATGCCCCACCTTCATATGAAAATTATGAAACAGTAAATACAAAAAGTACAAAATACGAAAATGTTTTTCGACAAGATAGCGGAAATTCACGTAAAAAGTTTGGATACCTTGTGGAAATTTAACAGTTTTACACAATTATGTAGTACATACCTTCAAATGAAGCACATAGATTTTCCATGCCCGTTTCTTTGAGCCAGATTTTCACAAAATTGAGGCCGTTTCCCTCGAAATCTGAGAAAACTGTATATTGCCGCCAATGCGAAGTATTTTCTGTGCATGCAGGAAGCACGCGGAAACGGGCAAAATGTTAAGACTTCCTGTTCAAATTCCCCACCCCGTTATCAAATGCCCCACCACATGGAAGGCTAGAACGTCAAATTCCCTATTCCCTGGAAAAGACTTGAAGTCAAATTCCCGGGGTATGCCCGGGGGGGGGATGATGAAGTTTCGAATTGATCGGTATATTACTTCAAGATGCCCCCACCTTCCAGCTAGAAAAATTTAGGACCCCTCTCCAACAATTAATTCCTTACATTTTTTGGTGACAAGTTGTGGTATAAGACATTGTGTAGCCTAAATAATTAGAGGATCAGTATTCAAAATGGTTGTTATTTACTCCGACTCCTACGGTGAACTGCATATATATGTAACAACTATGGAAACTACGATTATAGGAACTAATGGAAGGTGAAATATTTTATGGGATACGATAAACGCGAGAGATTGAAAATGAGTAGGAAAATCAATCTTGTACCCAGAGTATGCGCGTTTGCAGGTTAGGTGCTGGCCATGACTCTGGGTACGAGATTGTAGGAAAATATTATAAAAATGGGGTCGTCCCTTGTTACTAATTTTCAGTTTGAGGCGTGGACAGTTGCTGTAGCACAGTACAGTAAATTTGCTTGTTAAAGTACAGTATATTTGAAAATATGGCTGTATAATATCAACCTCGACATGTTTACATATTTAACCACAATATTAATAAATATTATAAATATTAATAAATATATTAACAAATATTTTTTATTTTGAAAACCAACTGCACAACATAATAATACAAATTTTCGGTTACATGAAATACCATGGGTTAATTATTATTATAATAGATTATTTATAATCCATCCACCCAGTGTTGTGGTGTCCCTCGTCACCCTTAGAAAATCTGCTAAGCTTGACCATACATTTCTTGCTTTTCGAAAGCGGTTAGAATAGAACTTCTATGAAACAATGCTCAGATTGTTTATATTTAAATATCCCAGCTAAATAATAAACATGTCAAGGTTGTTATACAGACATTATATTGTACTTTAACAAACAGATTTACTGCACTGTGCTACAGCAACTGTCCTGATCATGCATACATGGAAAAGCCGATATAAACACAAAATAATGTAAAACATAACGGAACAGCAAACATGCAGATTCGACCATCTCAAATAATGGTGATGTTGGGATGGTAGCGTTGCCGACTGCAGAGGAGAGTGGGCAGTAAGGCTCCCTCATGCACCACCTCATGGAAAACCAGCACTCCTCCTTGCAGATGCGGCTGGAGTCGCCCATGCATGCTTGTAGATAAATCGAATTTCAAAATAGGTATAAAATTGACAATGACAAAATGAATTACAAAGACAAAGTTCAAAGTACTACCTATTCTAACCAAATCTTATTATACTAAGAATCCACTATTTTAACAAACTTCTAACAAAAAAACCCTAGATATGTACAAAATGACATTTGTTCAAAATGCATTACAGTCAATTATCAATATCACCTTTCAATCATATTAAACAGTTACATTGCCTCATTGCGTTGCTATGTCAAAATAATCTCTAAACAATTCAACCAATTTCAAACAATCTCAAACTATTTCAAAACAGCTTCAAATAAATTTCAAGAGAGGTTTCATCACAACACAATAGCTATAGGTTGATGCGATATATCAATATTTTTGATAAATATCGATATTTCAAAAATATTAATATTTGAAAATATTATCCATTTTTCGCATATCGACAATATGGAACCATTTAAAACTGAAACCTCTTCTGTAAAGTTGAGAAAACGCATATGTGACAGCAATTGAGAGTTGGCAATTCAAAAGTGCAAACAGAGTAAGAGTGATCACAGAAGATCACCATCCACAACACAAGCGATAGTTTTTGAAAACAATAACTGTGTGATGACTCGTAAACATGGAATCAAAACATCACAGCTCCTTCTCTAATTCACTGTCTAGACTCACTGGAAAGTCTAGACAATAAATATGCCAAATCAACAATTCAAAGCCCTGTTTGGACTTACTTCAAGAACAGTGCACTCAACTAACTGAACTACATTTTCTAATTTCATAATTCGATATAGTCGATATTTTTGTTCAATATCGATATATTGATTTTTTCCATATCACATCAGCCTAATGTTATGCAAGATATTTTCAATTTATCTTGCCTTGCTAGTGGGGCGGCACATTGTCATGCATACTCACATGATCTTCAAGTTCAGTGGCAATTTCAAACTCGGCATCGCAGACACAACAGATATAACCAATACCATGGGCGTACCGGAACGAAAAAATCAGGGGGGCGGAAAGAAATTTGCCCAACTTTTCGGGATTGTGCCCGACTAGTACCTAAAAAATTTTTTCCGGAAAAATTATTTCGGCGACCTCCCCCCCCTTTGAATAATTTCCCCGCCACAACTGTTGCAGAATAATAAGCCATCTCTTGAATGTACTCTCCAGTGACATTTGAGACTTTTATGTTGTGTGAATGTTTTCTTACATTTAGCACACTCAAAATACTGCTTTACCTTGTGTGCTGATATTTTATGTCGTGTTAAATTGTGAGATTCTGAAAATCGCTTGCTGCAAACGTGAAAAGGTTTGTCTCCAGTATGTGTTTTTTTATGAGTAGCTAAGTGGCTTGATTGTGAAAATCTCTTCTTACAAATATTGTATCCATAAAGTTTGTCTCCAGTATGTGTTCTTTTATGCTTGGTCAGGCGGTGACGCACTACGACCGCAATGCATTATTTGGGATATTTTCTTCAAGATGGCGGATTTCGAGCATGATGAAAGGTATGTTGGCGCTCTATTTTCTGCCACGTTTTAAAGTTTAAACTTTTCGTTTTTTCTTAAAAAGGAAGTTGCATGTAATATTGTTATGCTGTGTTACTTTTCAAATCGATAATTTTTGGAATTCAATAAAAAATATCATTTGATTGTAAGCTCGTGTATTTGTCCCAAATACACTGGTCTGTTTACTTTTTCATGTCACAGGTTAGCCGTTCACACATCACATTTAAAATTGCAATTGGCATAATCTATGATCATTATTTGTGACCATATTTAATGGCGCCCCTCAATATTGTATCTTTTTTGGGCTTTTAAATCATGATATTTCCTTTGCTAATTTCAGGTCTTCTTGTCCAGAGTTCATGTTCTCCCGCTAATTTGGGGAAGCGTTCGTGCATCCCAGAGTCCCATACGCCAGGCAAACAAAAAACAAAGCGGCAAAGAAATAATAAACGCAAAAGAGAAGCAAAAAAACATTTTCAAATG